AATAAAATTTAATTTTTTTAATTTAGATTGATAGATCTTTTTAAAACGCGTCTTTTGAGTATAAATATGTTATAGTTTTGTCAAGTTTCGTGATCATTTTTTTAAAAAAATAGTTTTTTTCAAAAAAAAAATTGAAAAATAAAGTATTTGACTTTAGAATTTTATAAAATGCATCTTTTTGTCATTTTTTTCACTACTTTGTCTAGTTTTGCTCCTAGTTTTTTTCCTAAACATAAATCAATAAGAACTTAGCATAATTGAAGCCATTTGGAGGTTAAATTGAGTTAAAAATCGTTTAAAATTTTTGTATTTCTCAAATAGTTCTTTACACAAGTATCTAAGATATAAAGTGTTGCATAGTTTTGAAAAGGTATTGAAATTTCCAATATGTTAACATGAAAAGTTTAGGAAAATTTTCAAGTAATATAGTCAATTTGGGTAAAAAACGCATTTTATATATGCTAGTTTTTAATGTTTTTCGTTTTTCTCAGCAAAGACTTTATGAAAAACTCTCAAAGTTTGCACTTTTATTTGTTATATAAATGTTAATGACTCGTAAAAGTTTTGGAATTTTCCATTGAGTTTTTCATTAGTTCTCCTAATCTGAAATTTTCACTATTAAATTTTTGTTTTTCTCAACAATTGCGATTTTTTATTTATAAATAAATATCTTATTTTGTTTCATTTTTCAATATCTTTTCATTGATATGTAACAATCTACAAAAAAATTAAGACTAAAGAGAAATGAATAAAAAAGTGTCAAAAATGTATGAAAATTCTACGCTATTTTAATTTTTTAAGCCTTTTGTGGTTAATTTTACTAAGTTTTATAAGAGTGTTATACCTTTTTTTGCAAATGTATAGCGAGACAAAAGACAGTTCCATATGAAGAAAACCAGATATTAGTTTTAATGCTATTTAAGCTATAATATTAAGCTTTTTCATTTACTTTTGTTATAAATGTTTCATGTAATTAATAGCAGCCTGAAGATATAATTTAAAGCTTTTAAATAATTTAATTTTAATAAATTCAAAATTTTTGGTTGTCGCCAACTTGAAGCTTATTTGACTTCAGTTGTGCTTAGCGTAGACTCATACGAATTTTGGTGGATGAACGTCTTAAGCTATACATTTGCAAAAAAAGGTATAACACTCTTATAAAACTTAGTAAAATTAACCATAAAAGGCTTAAAAAATTAAAATAGCGTAGAATTTTCATACATTTTTGACACTTTTTTATTCATTTCTCTTTAGTCTTAATTTTTTTGTAGATTGTTACATATCAATGAAAAGATATTGAAAAATGAAACAAAATAAGATATTTATTTATAAATAAAAAATCGCAATTGTTGAGAAAAACGAAAATTTAATAGTGAAAATTTCAGATTAGGAGAACTAATGAAAAACTCAATGGAAAATTCCAAAACTTTTACGAGTCATTAACATTTATATAACAAATAAAAGTGCAAACTTTGAGAGTTTTTCATAAAGTCTTTGCTGAGAAAAACGAAAAACATTAAAAACTAGCATATATAAAATGCGTTTTTTACCCAAATTGACTATATTACTTGAAAATTTTCCTAAACTTTTCATGTTAACATATTGGAAATTTCAATACCTTTTCAAAACTATGCAACACTTTATATCTTAGATACTTGTGTAAAGAACTATTTGAGAAATACAAAAATTTTAAACGATTTTTAACTCAATTTAACCTCCAAATGGCTTCAATTATGCTAAGTTCTTATTGATTTATGTTTAGGAAAAAAACTAGGAGCAAAACTAGACAAAGTAGTGAAAAAAATGACAAAAAGATGCATTTTATAAAATTCTAAAGTCAAATACTTTATTTTTCAATTTTTTTTTTGAAAAAAACTATTTTTTTAAAAAAATGATCACGAAACTTGACAAAACTATAACATATTTATACTCAAAAGACGCGTTTTAAAAAGATCTATCAATCTAAATTAAAAAAATTAAATTTTATTTAAAACTGAAATTTTTATGATTATTTTTCTTTTTTGACCTTGCTCGACATACGACTTTCAGAGTCAAAAAAGTGCTCTTTGCCAAGAGAACACTTGTTCATTTTATTGCATTAGTTGATAGCATATCTAGAGAGCTTTCTAAATGTGAAATAAAATTCCACTACCATGGGTATCCCTGAAGCACTACAGCGATTTTTGTCAAAAAATTGTTGTTTTTTTTATAAAAAATTTTTTTTTCACTATCAAAACTTTGTTAAAATTATACGACATGTATGCAAAAGTTATAGCTTTTGATGTAATCTTTAATATAAAAAAGAAATTAGTAACTTTGGTTGTGCTTGTGAAGACCTACACAAACGAAAGTATGACGAACACGTGGTTTTTGAGAAAAATCTAGTTTTTCACAAAATTTTTCAAAGTTATTTGCAATTGTTTATATCTTAAAACAAAGTAACTATTTAAAGCTATTAACAAAAAAAATTTGAAGGAGATTCATCTATCCAGTATCTGGTGAGAGCATTTTCAATGTAACGTGAAAATGGTCGTCTGACCAACTTTGAAGTGCCATATCTCGGACATGCTGTCGACTTGAGCAAAGTTTTAAGGACGTAAATGTAGGGCATAATAAGAACTATCATATAAGCTGTAGAAATAATTTTTGGAAAAATTTTCCATTTCTGGCCCATAGTGCGCTGTTGTGAGCACTTTTGTGTCATTCAATAATCTTTATTCTCACCCTTCAAATTGTATTTACTTAATATTTTTATTCGATTTTCTCCTTTTTTTTCAAATCCCCTTCAAGAATTTTTGCTTCTGTCTACTTTTTTATTCTTCAATTTTTATTTTATGATTTTTTGAAAAATAATAACAGCAAAGACGGTGGATTTCAATTTTCAACATCCCCTATTCAGCTAGACTTCTTCCTTACCATTGCTACTAAAAACATATTTTTATGCTTCACTTTGTATTGACGATAACATAAACATTCAATCATGCATCATCATCATCATTGATATCAGAAAGCATAAAAAATTGTTTTTGTCACTTATTTTATGGGTGATTTTTTTCGCTTTAAATCTCAAGTTAGGATTTAGGTGGGTTTTTTGGAGTAAGCGCATTTTTGGACAACTTAATCTTTAAAGAACTGAATTACATAGAAACCAGATCTATCCCAAGATTATGAATTATCCCGGTTAAGAACAAGCAACAATGTTGGGTTGATTTCTAAGTTTACCTGGTGGACCTTACTCCTTTTTGTTTATGTCCTAATATGTAAAATGCTCTGATCATTGTTACTCGAGAATATAAGTGAGTATGGATTGTGATTAAGCTAGGGTTCCACTAGTAGTCTTTAAAACCGGCTCTTGAAGCCTTACCAAATTCACAACTCAGGGGGCATAACCAGGAATTTGAAGATTGGGATGTTAATAAGCTGATCTAGGTCCGACAGTATTATCTTAAACCAGAAATTTACTGAGGAATTAATTTTACAAGAGTTCGTGAGAAAATGAGGATGGAGTGGGTCTGACTGTTCAATTTTTCAATGGGTGTCTTTACTGACCTCTTATTTCATACTCAAAGGAGCAGAGAATCAGTGTTACACCAAAGATCAAGGACATAGCTGGAAGCTAGTATGAAACAGCTTCCTATTCACAACCTCATTCATAAGAGCATTTTAAACTAGCATAACCAGGAATTTGAAGAGGGGGCACAAAAAAAATTATATGGAAAATTTAGAGGGAAGGGGGGGATTTGATATGATTTTTTTATAAAACTCCTAGCAAAATGAAGAAATTTCTGTTAACGTCGGGAGATTTGTCCCCCAAATCCCCCCCCCCTGGCTACGCGCCTGTCACAACGAAATGCATAACACATAACACAAAGTACTCACAACAACCCCCTATTTTCCAACCTAAGAATCTTGAATAAAAAAATCTCACATTGCAAAAAATCAAATAGGGAAGGACAAGAATCGCTAGAATATATAAAGGAATCTCACATGATATGTGATTATTACTTTTGACGATTTTCATATTATCTATGATTATTCAATTTTCCTTCATACAAATGCTACTGATATGTGCGATGTCACATGTGTATAATAAAATTGATAAAAATCTCACAAAAGTCAACAATTTTTCTTTGTCATGAAGTTTCCCGTTGAAATGATAAAAAAAAATAATATTTTTTTGCCCTTTTCATTGAATGTCGTTTATTTCTTTCTTCCTTTTTTTTTGCTGTGTGCATGTGTGTCATAATAATGATGATGACATGACGATGATGATTCAGTGAATTTTTTACCTCAGTTCCTTCTGAATTATCATTATTGCTTTCATAAAATTCTATCGATTTCTATCTGTGAATAAAGTTGTTTAATCCTGTAAAGTTCTGTTATGATAATGTTAAGCCATACTGACTTCCTTACCCACAAAAATAATAATTTTTGCATGCATAAATTCATGCTCATAAATGTAAAATAAAATTTTTGAATAATTCTAAAAAGAACAATGAAGGAATTTCACCAGTCACAAAGCACATAGCAATAAACATTTTTAAGACATACAAGAATGAATTTAAGAAAGAATCAAAATAGACATTTTTATGAGAAAAAAAGCAAATGAAAATTTTTTCATTTAATATACGACAGCAGTTTACTCTTGTTGTGCATACTTCTTTTCATAATTCAACAACAGCATAACAAGAAATTGTCATATTTATGTACAATATGAAAAAGCATAAAGAGCACAAAATCTCATCAACATGCTTGAATAACAAATGAGAGAGAATGGAAATCAATTGTATAAAAATTATTGTTATTAGGCATTTTATATTCAAAGAAATAAAATTATATATAGCGCGAATTTCCCTTGGTACTAATTTTAACTGCTTGTTCCTGAGGAATTTTAAGAAATTTAAGAATTTCATATGTTTAATTGATTCTAATATCATCAAAATCAGACGGATATACTCTGAAATGAAAGCTAATAATTAACACACAATATTTTTACTTTTAAATCTTAATTTTATTTTAGCAAAATTTACATTTTTTGTCTTTTACAAACTTAATTCTATTTCCTTAAACTAATTCGAACTGGAATTCTAGATGCTCTTTTCTTCTCAATAGCTCCCAGGATTTTCTTAGTGTCTCTAATCCAGTTGTTGTCAAATTTGATTTTTGGATAAAACTTCTTAATTTGGTCAAATGCGCAGTTTTTCAATTCTTCGTGTTCATATTTTGAACTCAATTTTAGAACTTCAACGGCATTTTCTTTTCTGATTGAGTTGCATGCCTTTACACCAGCGAAGTTCTTTAGATCTTCAATTTTTAATACTCCAGCTGCTCTAAAGAGTTTCAAGTAGTCCACTTCATTATCACTTGGTAGTTCGTCTGCGTAGAGGAATTGGAAGATTTTCTCAAAGACATCCTCATCAATGTCTGTTAAATTTATGTTCTGAGCTTCTGGGTTGTTTCTTAATATTTCAGCAAGTGTTGGACTTCTAGCTTGAAGGATGCATTTGTGGACTGGGAACTCGTGATCTTTAATGATGATATTGAAGTCCCTGGCAGATTCATCTTGTATCAAACCGATGACATCACTTAGGATTCCCTTTTCTAGTCGTTGTGTGAATTCTTCGTTAATTTTCTTCTCTTGTTCCAATTTTTCTTTTAGATTTAATTCTAATTCGATCAATTGATGATTTTCTTGAATTAGTTTTTCGTTGTCTTTTTGAAGATTTTCAATCATTTCTGCTTGTTCGAGCTTTTCTTGTTCCAATTGTGCAAGTTTTTTGGTTAATTCAGTAATTTTTAGTTTTTCTTGTTCTAACTCTTCCTCTAGTTCTTTACGTTGATCATTTATTTGCCTGAATTCTTCTCTTAATGTATCTTCAAAATTGTCGTGTAACTGTTTCTTAAATTCTTCTAAAGTTCCAGTTGTGTGATTTCCTTCGTAGATTGAAAATTGAAAGATGTTGTCGGGACGTCCAAAGTTCACAAACTCTAACTTTGTTAATCCATCCAGAATTGTTGGTTGGATGACTTCGAGTTCGTTGTGCCAAAAGTCAATTCTTTTCAATTGATTAAATCCTTCGAACAAATCTCCTCGCAATAACTTGATATCGCTCCACTTGCAGTGAAAAATTTCTAAATTTTTGAATTCTTCTATTTGTTCCTTGCAGATTTCTTCTGCAGACCACCTTTTAATATCCAAAACTTTTAAATTTGGAAAAACGTTTGAAAGTCCTTTGAAGTCTTCCATTTCACAGTTGTCAAATTCGAGAAATGTGACATCTCTACAGCTTTTCCCATCGACATGTTGACCATTCAGTTGTTTATGTAATGGTTGATTTTTGATTAGACAACGGTAGTACTCTTCGCCTTTGAAGGTGATGAAGTCAAACTTGCATATGGTTTCAATTTTTTTGGATTCCATTATTTCGGTATTTGAAAATTTTTGTCTTGATGATTTTTGAAAGTTTTTGTGTTGATGATTTTTGAAAGTTTTTGTGTTGATGATTTTTGAAAGTTTTTGTGTTGATGATTTTTGAAAGTTTTTGTCTTGATGATTTTTGAAAGTTTTTGTCTTGATGATTTTTGATATCCTTGAGATGTTGACAGTAGAACTGTTTTGAGTGTTATAATTCTACTATGAACTCTCAAATCTATTTATACCTAAATAATTGCACAATCTCAATTTTTTAATTTTTATACCAGACATGAATAATCTCAAACAACAATAACAAAGGTCCAAAACTCTCAACCACTATGAATCTCAGTTAAAGATTTCTATGGACACAATCTAAATAATTTTCTTGTAATTATAGATTTATTATCTTGTTTAAACAATATTTTTAGATTTATAGATCGATAGATAGTCGAGATCTTATATTTATAAGTCACCAAAAAGGATTGATGCAGCCAAAAATAAGCCAATTCACTTAGTAAAGACATCTTTAATATTATAAAAGACTCCTTCTGTTGTAAACTCAATGTCATAAAATCCTAATATTGAAAGATTGCTTACTAAATGACTGAAAAATCCTTAATGTTGATATCTTCGCTAAAGTAGTAAAGTTATTAAAAATTCAAATCTTTTCTAAAATTAATCCAAAATGTGAACCTACAAAACCAATTAAATACATTACAATTGCAATCATCCCAAACTCATTCTGATTTTTGTTACTTGAAACAACCTCAGAGAAGCAACACGAACACTCTCATGTTGCATTATAAATAAAATTTTTGAATTTTATTTTTTTGGCCCCCAACCCTCGCTCACTTCACTCTCATATTTATTTTTCTGTCGTTTTGCTCGTGTTCATTGTTTGTCACATAGCATTAGGGTTACCATCTAATTTTCATGAAAATACAGGACTTTTGGTAAATTTTTTCGAAAAATACAGGACATAGAGTAAAATTCGAAAATTAACGGAAATTTTCGTGAAAAAAATACAGGACCTGGAACAAAGTTTTCAAATTTATACAGGACAGGGTTTTGAAATACAGGACTGTCCGTTGTAAAACTATGCAGATGGTCACCCTACATAGTATACAGCATAAAAAAAAATACTTTAAATGACATTTGTTGAGAGAGAATGGAGAAAAAAAAATGCAAACAATTTGGCAATGAAATACACACAGAAGAACAAGCGCAACATAAAAAGGCACAGTATTTTTTTTTTCATATACAAAAAAAAAGTTGGTGATGGAAGGGTGTGGTGCAGAGTAAAAAAAATGAATGTATGTTGATATAAAAAAAAAATATGCAAAGTACCTCGTGTGCCATATTGAGAGTGTGCTGTTAAACAAATTTTTTTGATGTAATAAGAACTGATGACTGACCATTGAATGCCGAGTATCGAATACGCGAAGAGATGAAAATATGTTTTTAATCTAAATATTATTCAATATGGTTTCAATTACTCTCTTGTTGCTCTTCATTCGCGGTGTATATTTATATTTATTTCTATATATATTTTTTTAAAAAAATTACCTTAATGCTTGTTATTTCTTTCAATTTTCATATTTTTTCACATTTTTTTCTCTCGTTTCTTTTTTTCGGGGAAAATTAGTTAATAAACTTAATATAAATACAACAATTTTGAGCATCTGTTACCTGCAACGAGAGTGAGAGATAGATAGGAAAAACAAATTGTGAGTGAGCATCAACAAAAAAAAATGAATACACATTTTTATATATAAAATAAATATACAAAGTACAAAAATTTTGAACGTTTATTAAAATATCAAAAAAAAAGTAAATTGTTTGAATATTGCTTCTGTTGCTGCTTTATTGGAGGCTTGTTAGGGGTTCTAAATTTTGATTTTTAAAGTTTTTGGTTTTAAAACCAAAAAATCATGGAGACCATTTACCTAAGGTTTGGGTAGCCTAAGGAATTATACAAGCACATTAACCTCAATTTTAGGTCATCCCTACAAACAACTTCATGCCCAGGAAAAACTTACTTACAAAAAAGTCAATAACGACTCAAATTAGAACCTCCAAACCATTTCACATTCTCCATATCCCGAAAAAAGAAAAGTTTAAATTTTTTTTAAACAAAACATTAATTCTTTATGTTTTATAAACTTTTACCTTTTTTGTATTATTTCGCATCAGTCTACCGACATCTATTTAATATTAAAATAATAATCCATTACATTTATGTTGTTTAATCGACTTTTAGTGTTTTCTCTTGCTTATACTTTTTCATTTTGATGTTGCTAATGCGAAACATAGATAAGACAGTGGAAAATTTCTTTCATTCTTCTTACAAAAAAAATTTATTTATCTTTTACCATAAATGGTGCAAGAGATGGATAAATGAGGTAGTATTAAGACAAAATAAATCATCATGATTTACAAACTGTGCCATAGCGTTAGCTTAAATATCGCGCAAACGGAGAATAAAAATTAAATGTATTTAGGAGAGGAATAGAGCTAATGTGCACATTTCTGATGATGGAGTATAAGTAAGGAATTTTTTGATTGTGAGTTTGCTGAATTGGCTATGTGCTTGCTATTGTGATGTCTATTTGAAGCTTTTGATCATTGAAATTTACATTATTAAATTACTCTTTTAGATTAATAGAGTAATAAGTTGGCTACTTAGGGCTCTAGGCATATGGTGATGGACATATATAGAACCATTGCCTCTTAGAGAATAGCTAAAGCTGACTCGTTTTTAAAAAAACCTTCAAATAATTCAGAAAGTTCTAAGATCCCTCGGTCGATACAATAGATTCAATCATGGATCACTATCGTAGTGCTTCTAGCTCGTCGCAAAGAGTACTTAAACATAGCTTGACTGGAGTCCTCTCACATTTTTAAGACCCCTCCCCCCTCCCCCATCTCTTCTCTTAATCTCAAAAGTAATAAGTGAACGAACTTTAGTAAAATTCCAAAAAAAACGTCTTTAACAAAAAAATTATCGACAATAGAGACATAAAATTGTCATACATACTCCCACACTGATTTCATAATTTATCTCATACTTTATTATCATATTTCATTTTCATATTGTTATTTCTCATTTTCTAAAATAGAACATCAAAGAGCATACAAAAACATACTTTTTAGCATATGAAAAAATTTATTTTTGATGTCAAGAGATAAGAAAACGCAGGCTGATGGGAGGTTAGATGAGATCCGCGTAATTTGTAAATGATAAAAATAATATGCACCACATATTTTCTTGTGCTGTGACGCAAACATCATTAACATTATCAACGTCATCCCCGCTTAAAAACAATGGCAGCAACAGCTCCTAAAATTTATTTACAGTCAGCCAAATAATTCACATTAAAATCAAAAAAAAAACGACAAAATAAATTACATGCAATAAATGAAGAATTTTCTCATTCGCGGACTTTTTTTTCTGCTCTTACTCTCGTGAGAATGATATATGTTGAAGAAACATTAAAATTTAATTAAAAAATAAACGAAAGATGAAGTGGTGGCAATGTTGAGGGATGGAGTATAAAGAAAATTACGTGTATGTTCATTTTTTTTTTTTTCCTTTAGTAAGAGACAAATTAACGCACATGGAAATTAATTTTAATGTTTCTTTCTACTTTTTGCTTTCTTCAAGAATGCAAGTTGAAGTTAAAGCTGTTATTTGAGGAGTCAAAAAGCGCAATTCTTCAAAATTGCACATGTGGACAGTTTATAGGGCTATTATAGTGTTCAATTTCTTATTCTTCGACTTAGTACATTGATTTTGAATTCTAGAGTAGGGCAATCTAGGAAAAACTAAAATTTATTGATCTGCATCCCCTTGGCTACGCCCCTGATTCAAAAGAGTGCACTAGCTATCGACCACTAGTTAGGGAATATCTAAAATTGACTCTATCTTGTCATAGTTGCAGATGCTACACAATTTTAAAAATTATTTTTCTCTCACATCAAAAACAATCTGATCCTATTCAACATGTTATTGTATAGCAAATTCATGCTACAAAACTTGACGTACTGCTTATTCATTGCTTATACCTCTCCACCATTATCACAGAAAGAAACTTTTAAAGTTTCCATTTTTTTTTCATTTCATAATTTATTGCTTTAATTTTATGCAAATTTTCTCTTTTCTTTCTATATTTTCTTTATGTTTGCTTTATGTCGCATGACAAAAATAAACAGAAGCACATAGAAAAATTATTAAACAGAAACATGCTCATGAATAAATTCAAATCTATCTTGACACAAACTATTTAAATAATTATTAAATGAATTTAAAAAAAAATAGTAATTTAAAATTGTAGTTTATACATTAAGATTCAAAATGTCTAAAAGGCAAACTCTCGTACCTTTATATCATGCATTTAATTCTTTCTTTCTCTTTCATGCCTGCTAACGTGCCCATCAACCATCTTACTTTATTTTAATTAAAGAGTTTTTAATTACTTTTTGATTTATATGTTTGATGAAACATTTTAATTAGATTGAATTTACCACAACTATTAAATGCCTTACTTACATCATACAAAAGACTCACTTCTTTTCTCATTTAACAGTTTTTTTTTGAGAGCTGGAAATTTCTAAAATGGGCAATTGTTTTTTGTATGCTCAAAGTCGGTAGCTTGTCCCTAAAGTAAGTTAAGGGCCAGTTTTTAAAGCTACTCAGCATATTTTGGGAACAGTAAGATACTCTGAGAAAAAAAGGTACCCCAGGTTGCCCTAGAAACCAGACCCTGATCCCAAAGCTAACGTCGAACCAAACTGACTTTGAACTATAAATAAGCCAAGACTTACAACCCTTAAAAAGCTAAAGATTTGTTTCACATGCGCTCATGCCTCACATAATTAAGTAGCACTTTCATTTCCTTTATGATCCCACAAACGCATTCATTACGTCTTTCAATGGTAATTGATTCTTTCTTGAATTGCAAAAACCATAATTCTGTTGTTATTACGGAAATTTATTCCACCTCAAGTGACGATTTTGCAATTCAAATTTGAGCGCACTGAGTCTGTACTTGGTCATGTTTGTAGTATTCTTACTTTTAATGCTACAC